TAGCACTCACCTGGATACCACCTGCTTGGCTCTGTCACCTGTAGAGTCAGCACTCACCTGGATAGTTCTGCGCTAGAAAGGTCTTATGGCTTCAGCCCTGTTGTCCCATCCTCTGCCCTCCAGTGAGGGACCCTGAGCCCAGGTAGATGTCTCTAGGTCATTACATAGGTCTAGAAAGAGTGCTCTGGAGTTTTGTTTTCCAATCCACATTCTCCAAATTCCTGGGGGGGGGACTGGCACCCCAGGGTTTTCCCTGGCTGGCTCTCCACATCTAAATCTGTGGTAAAAACAGATCAAGAAGAATAGGGAAGAAACTTGGCTTTCTGCAAAGGAGAGTAAAGAGTGTGTGTTTGGGGGGTAGGGAGCTATAATCCAAGACTTCTTCCCTGAGTTCAAGGCTGTCCCCACATGAGGGGCTCTGGGCCCAACTATATAGGGTGAGTAGGGTTGGGGGTTCATTTCCCTCTCTTTGCCGTGGTCTGTCCCCAGGATCTGTAGCCTCAGACTTCTGGGAAAGAATGACCCTGAGTATGCACTCTTGTTCTGGACCCCAGAAACCCACCCTCACCCCACCCCACTTTCTTGTACCTCATGTCTGCACTTGCTGTGAGGACAGAGACTGGGCCAAATGGAAGCACCTCAGATTGCCTTGGACTCTTGTAGTCCAGTGTGTTTGTGTGTGCGTGTGCCCGTGTGCCTCTGTGTGTGTGTGCCCCTGTGTGTGTTGGGAGTAACTTTGGGAGACTATTGGCCAGTTTTCATTTTCTTGTCCAAGTGCTAATACTGGAGGGCTCCTCCGAGTCCCAAGTTAATGCTTGTCCCCCTGAAGACCTCAGCCATGGAAGCTCACCACGAAAAGTCCACACTGGCACGCACACCGCTTTAGAGCCCTGACCTAAACTCACGGTTCTACTACATTCCCCTCAGAGGCTACATAGGTGCTCCGCTTGGGCTACTTTCCCTACTCAGCCCTGATTGGTGGGGGTGGAGGCAGAAAGAGAGGAGTTGGAGACCCGTCTCTATTCGGGCTCCATCTGGATCTGCCCCAGGAACAATTTCAGCATCCTCTACACTACAAGCAACGAATGCTCACCATGTTGCTCCTCGCCCCTCCCAACACTTTTCTGCTTAGGAGACAGGAGGCCATGTCTCTGCTCATAAGGATGCCAGGCTCAGGGCTTGGCAGATGACTCTGGTTAAAAATGCTTGCCCTGCAAACATGAGGACTGGAGTTCAGATTCCCATGGCCCACACAGTGGGTGTGGGTGGCCCTGAAACCACCTCAAATTCAGCCTCAGCAGGTGGAGACAGGAGATCCCCTGAGCACCCTCCCTAGCAAGACTAACTGCTGTGGGACAATGGTCTGCACCCTGTCACTTGTGTTATTTTTAATAAAACGCTGATTGGCCAGTATCCAGGCAGAAGTGTAGGTGGGGCGACGAGAACAGGAGAATTCTGGGAAGAGCAAAGAGTCAGTCTGCAGTCTTCACGCAGACACAAAAGAGGCAAGATGAGACCACCTCACCAAAAAAGGTACCAAGCCACTTGGCTAATACAGACAAGAATTATGGGCTGATATAAGTTATAAGAGTTAATAAGAAGCCTGAACTAATAGGCCAGCCAGCTTATAATTAATGTAGACCTCTGTGTGTTTCTTTGGGACTGAGCGACTGTGGGACTTGGCAGGACAGAAACCCCAGCCAACAACTGACCACATCAGTGAGCTCTGGGATTGACAGAGAAACCCTGCCTCAGCCAATACGGCGGAAGATAGAGGATGCCTCCCAACATCAGCCTCAGGGACTCCATGCACATGCCCCCTGGACACGTGTGTGCACACACATACACACATGAGCACATGCACATCACACATACACTTGAACACAAAAAAAGAGAATGAAAACACCCCAGACTCGTGATTCTTCTAGGACGGGCCTATCCTGCCCATGATTCAGAAGCCCTTTCCTTGCCCAGCAAGACATCATGGTTTCTTCTTTCTGTTCTCTCTTGTGTACAAATGTGGCCATCTATCCTCGGTGCCCGTTCTGGGGCTGCGAGCTTCCTGCTCAGACCCTGTCCTGCTCTGGCCCATGGTTCGTGCGCAGGTGCCCTCATCTCAAATATCATCAGAGATTCTCCCACGTCACCCGACTCTGTCTCTCTAGGTTTTGTTTGCGTCTTCTGGAATCATCCTGTTCACTTACTTATTGTTTAGTTCTTGCGTCAATGCCTTATCTAATGTAAACCCCATGTCTGCCAGAATTCATTTATGCCATCTTCAGTTGTCTGGGACTAATATGGATTCAATAAATACTTGTTGACTGGAAGAATGTTTATTTGTTTTTAAAAAAAGCCTTAAAATAATTTTCGAAAGTATGAGTTCTTTTGATCAATCAGAGGCATCTATTGTAGTTCATAATGAATTGCTGGTGACCTTGGCAGGGCTCCCTCTGTGTAAAGAAATTGGGAAAGAGGAGCAGAAATTCATGAGTGTAAATGCAGCACCCTCAGCTTGGCCTTGAAGGCCTTAAAGGGCAGGCAGGGTTTGGGTCGGTAACTCGGGAGCTGTTTGAACACACTGAAATGCTCTTGAGGGGTTGTAATGGCACACACTTTTAATCCCAGCACTCGAGAGGCAGAGGCAGGTGAATCTCTGTGAGTTTGAGGCCAGCCTGGTCTATAGAGTGAGTTCCAGGACAGCTAGGGCTACACAGAGAAACCCTGTCTCAAAAAACCATAACCCTTACTGCCCCCCACCCACAAAGAAATGCTCTGGTGAAGGAAGTGGTAGTGTGTGTGATGAAGAGGCACAGGGCCATTAACTGATGGAGCTAAGAACCTAGGAGGGAGCTTGGGGACACCAGTGAGGGGGATCCCCATGAATAAAGGGGCCCTTTGATTGGAAAGGGGGAAAAAAGAGAAGAGAATTGTAGATTACAGCTAGTTCTCGAGTTCATTGGTGGGGTGTGGGCGGCCCTTGCCTGAAGCATCAGTTTCCTGTGTGCCTTATGTAGGACCCAAGGCAGCCAGTTCACTCTGGGGTGGGGGGAGGTGGTGGCATTGGGGACAGGAGGAATGAAGGCAGAGGGGAGGATTATAAAGATGTCACTCCAAATCACCTCTAAAAAGCTTATTCTAATCTCTCCCCCACTTTTGAATGCATTTGTATTTTCTCTTCCTTCCTTCTTCCCTCCCTCCCTCCCTTCCTCCATCCCCCCCCCTCTCTCTTTCTCTTTCTATTTTTGAGACATGGTTTCTCTGTTTTGGAGCCTGTCCTGGAACTCGCTCAGCAGACCAGGCCGGTCTTGAACTGGGATTAAAGGTGTATTCCACTACTGCCCATCCCAGGGCAGTAATCTTAAATGACTAAAAACAAAATCAGACTTGTTTATTCAAAAATATATAATTTACTTGTCTCAAGATGTTAGTCCCTTATTTAAAGTCTTGTAGGGGTGAAAGAATTTCTACTTTTCACTCATAGTTTACAGGAGCCCATCTATCTTGGAATCCAGAAACCTAAACACTGTTATACTATATCTAAAAGACAGAAGCAGAAGTGTCGGCCCTCAGGTTCATAGCCAGGTCTATTCATTACCATGTCGTGGTTGATGGGCTCTTATTGGCTGATGAAACAATAATGTAAATGTACCGATGATTGACATGACAGAGTCTCAGAGAGGGGTTGTCCAGAGCAGGCTGAATTGTGAGCATGCCTGGGGGTATTCCTTGGCATGACAGTCTCAGAGAGGGGTTGTCTAGAGCAGGCTGAGTTGTGAGCATGGCATGACAGTCTCACTAAAGGGTTGTCTAAGTCAGGCTGAGTTATGAGCATGTCTGGGGGGGTATTCCTTGGCATGACAGTCTCAGAGGGGGTTGTCTAGATGAGGTTGGGTTGTGAACATGTCTGGGGGGTATTCCTTGGCATGATAGTCTCACTAAGGGGTTGTCTAGGTCAGACTGAGTTGTGAGCATGTCTGGGGGGTATTCCTTGGCATGACAGTCTCAGAGAGGGGGTTGTCTAGAGCAGGTTGGGCTGTGAGCATGTCTGGGGGGAGGCTGCCTTGATTTCATTAATTGATGAGGGAAGACCCAGCCTGTAAGTGGCTGGCCCTACTCCTGGATTTGGGGCCCTGGATGCTATCAGAGGGGGTTGGAGAGATGGCTCAGTGGTTAAGAGCACTGCCTGCTCTCCCAAAGATCCTGAGTTCAATCCCTAGCAACCACATGGTGGCTCACAACCATCTGTAATGAGATCTGGTGCCCTGTTGAGGAAGAGACCTGGTCAGTCGTCCCCATCAACTTAGACCATGAATTTGTCCAATATGGACAAGTTCAACAGAACCGCCATCTATGGGCTGCCCATGCATGCTAATAAAATAATGCTATCAGAGTGGAGAAAGCTGGCTGAGACTAAGCATGCCTGCGTTCATTTCTCTCTGCTCCTGACTGGGCATGTGGTGTGACCAGCTGTCTCCAGCTCCTGCAGCGATGGACTATCGCCTGGAATTGTGAGCAAAATAAACTTTTTCTCCCCCAAAGTTTCCTCCTTCCCTCCCTCCTCCCTCCTTCCTTCTTTCTTTTCTTCCTTCCTTCTTTCTTTCCTTTCTCTTTAAATCAAGATATGCTGTCACATCAACAGAAACGAAACTGGGACACAGCAGGACTTTGCACAAGGCTTTTAACCCCTCACTTTCTTGACTGGTAGAAGGAAAATGGTGGTAACTGCCTTGCCCGTCCCACAGTGCTGTTGTGTAGACCAAGAAAGAGCTTAGAGCCCAACAGTGTAGCATATTCAAATGGTGGCTGACTTTCCAAGGGACATCATGGAGGTTGTGATGTTGTGTCATGGGGAAGTGGAGGTGACTTCCGAGTTAGCGGATCCAGGTTTTTCCCTAAATCTGACACTAAGCAGTGATGTCATCCCATCAGCTCAGCCTGTGGTCTTGGCACTAAGCAGTGATATCATTCTCTCAGCTCAGCCTGCGACCTTTGAGTCGTTTACCCGTTCAGTGAAGAGCTCAGATTGCAGGACCTTCCAGAAACTGCCTGGCCCTGTGGTTCTGTCATTTTCATTTACCGTGTTGTTTCTTCATACCAAATAAAGCATACACATGCAGGACAAGGACATGGGGGTCTGTGTGGTTTCTGTGCTTAGGGTGGGAACGCTGAGTTCCTCTATTTCCTGGGTGGGAAAGTTGCTGGCAGGTAGGTCTACCAAATTCATTCTCTGGGGAGCGCAATGCTTTGGTCTGTTATGCTTTTGTGGCTGCTTCTACCAAGTCTACAGCTACAGTCAGTAAACTAAAACAGTGTTTCTAATCTAGCTGGAACTTGTATTTAGTGTGTGTGTGTGTGTGTGTGTGTGTGTGCGTGCTTGTGTGTGTGCGTGTTGTGTGCATGCATATGTGTGCGTGTGTATGTGTAGGTCAGGTGACAACTTTTAGGAGTCAATTTTCTCATCCTATCACAGGGGACCCAAGCTCAAACTCCGGTTGACAGACTTGGCAGCAAGCACCTTTACCTTCTGAACCATCTTGCCAGCTCTCTCTATAACCCCTTATGTTGTACTATTTTCTCTGAGTCTTATTTGGCATATCTTCTTTTGTTTAAATCTCAGAAATGTTCTTCCCAGGAAGCTCAGATATAAGGATCAGAAACAAACAAATTACATCTCCAAGGCTTGGCGGGACCTGGTTGAGCTGGTTTCTGGGATAGCGGCGTCCATGGGTCTTGCCCCTCGTACTGACCTCCCTACCCTTGGGATTGATTGAATGACCAAAGGCCACAGGGTTCAGAGGTTCTCCTTCTTCCTTCTCAGTCATGCCCATCCCTTTCATGAGAGTGGGGTACCCACTTCTGAAGAATGCAGGCAGCCTATGGGAAACTCAGAGGTGCAACCGCCAGGAGAAAATTGGGGACTCAACGCCCCCATTTAGAACTCTAGCTGACAGTTTCTCTCTCCCCTCAGCACTTTGACGATACCACCCCACCGCCTCCCTCTATAACTGCCGATGAGAGATCTGCCGTCAATCTTCTCAACTCATGGTAAGACTCTGCTTTCCCTTTGTTTATTTTAAAATGATTTCCTCTTCGTCCCTGCTGTTCTGAACATACGATGATTGCGATGTCACTAAGTACGGATTTATGTCTGCTTATTCTGCCCAGGACTCAGGTACCTTTATCTGAAGATTCGTGTGTCTTCAGGGCTGTGCAAAACAAGTTAGTGTTGCACAACTATCCAAACGGCAAATATAAAAGAGAAACTGTCCAGCACTAATGTGAAGAAAGCCCTAGAAGCTACCGATGGGATTTGTACATTGTCATAACACATGCCGTAACACCACTGTACTCCAGGACAATAGCCAGGCAGGATATCTTAAAACCTCTAACCAAGTAGCTATGATTTTAGGCATCCATCCTGGAGAGAACTTACACACTTTTAGAGAAGAGAGAAATGCACAAACTTGTTTAAAAGATCAAGGTTTGTAGTTAAGAGAGGAACATAGAATATAACTAACCAAAACGTCTACCCACAGGGGAATGAGAGAATCAGTTCTGGGATATTTGCAAATAACGTCCTAAACAGCAGTTAAAAGTCAATCCATCAGATAGACCATATCAAGCAGGTAAATCCAGAAAGCAAGGCAAGGACTCTACAAAGCAAGCTTCAGGCAGTAAGTCCAGTACGATATCCTATGCACAAATATTGACAGCCCACAGTTTTATATTGGTTATTGCTCAACAAGAAGTCATAAGATCTCATACTTTTTCTATAATGCCACAGGATTTAAAAATGACAGTAAAATACAAAGATATTAAAAACAAATCCTCTCAGATATAAAAGTATAAGAAATAATTCCTGGCTTGAATAAATAACCCCGCCTAAAAGTTACTCAGGAATGGTTTAACACTACCAGCTGGACATACATTTGTTTGGAGAGAGTAAATGGGAAATTTATCAGCAGCCTGGGATGCTTCCATTGTTGGTTATATAAATCTAAAACACCAAAAACATTTGTTTTGAATCAGTTTTGGGTCTGGGCTAGAGTCCTTGACTTGTGATGGCTCCTGACATGGGAGGAAAGGGAGTCAATTGGAACACAGCTCTCAAATTTTCCTTTCAGAACAGGTAGATAGGAAGGGACAATAGGATGTTGGGGAATGCGGTGGGATGTAAAACGGACAGTATTAGCGTGGAGGGAAACGTGGTGTAGGGACTAGAGGAGCATCAAGAATGACCTTGTGCTGGGAGCTGGCATGGCCAAGCACAGGCAGATGCCTGAAGACCCTGAAGGCCACCATTGCATCCTCACAGCCAGAGCTGGCAAGGTTCAGATTCAAGTGCAAGGATGGGGGGCGTGTTCAAGGTGTGGATCTGGAGTGGCAGGAAGACAGCAAGGAGGAAGGAAGAGATGGCTGAGAATGCTGTGCCCCAGCAAGAAGAAGCAGGCCGAATACTTTCCCAAGGTACCCAAAGGATCCTGGATTCCTAACAGGAGGGCACTGTGGCCCCGTGGAAGCTCCAATGAGAAGGCAAGGAATTTAACTGTGTAACAACTTCATGCAGAACCTCCGGTGCTACATGAACATCTACGGTGACAACGTCTCTGAGGAACAGGTTCTAACGGTGAGCTGCCCACGGCTATCACCTTCCTGAGTAACTGGGCTGGGAAGAACGGAAATGGGATAGAAGCACACAGTAGCCTCCTGGTGAGCCTTGCACAACACATTCAGGAAGCTGTCTTGATTTTAGCAAAGCGAGACTCCATCCCCAGGGCTCGCTATTTTACCCTCCCCTCCACGCCACCCCCAAGACATGGAGTGTGTGTTAACCCATACCCAGCTCCGGATATTAGCCCGTTAACGTGAATAACCAGAAACTACTAAATTTTGTCTGTTTTCTGTAGAAATAAAATCTGGGGATGGATCAAACCCACCTGGAGATTGCTTGAAGCTGGTGGGGTCAGCTGAGCGTCTTGTGCCTTGGGCATTGAAACTGAAACACAGTGTGATAGTTATGTAATGTTTTTCTGTGTAACATTGATCCTGAGGAACGTTTCCCAGTAAATACTAGTGACATTATATAAAACCCCCAAAGCTGTTCTTCATCAGTTTCTTGAGTAGGCATCCGTAGCCACAATGGCTGACACATGGTAGCTTATTCAGGATGCTCATTAATCTGATGTTCTGGGAGAAACTGCGGCATGTGCCTGGAGCTGTTGGGGTCTCGAGGTAGGAAGCCCTGGGCCACAGCGTTTGCTAATTCCCATAATGGAAATATTCCCACGGCATGGTTTTCACAGTGTGAATGGGAAGGGGTAACAGGGCTGGCTCTCCAGTGCCCCACACTTCACGATCACTATCATCATTTAACTGTGAACTGGCACAGGCTGGTGATAGGTAAGGCTACTGACCTGTGGACAGCTAGGAAAGTGGAATATAGTATGCAAAGTCATAGGCTGGAGAGATGGCTCAGTGGTTAGAGTACTGGCTGCCCTTCCAGAGGACCTGGGTTCAGTTCCCAGCACCCACACGGTGGCTCACAACCATGCATAAGTCCAGGTCCTGGGTGTCTGACGTCCCCTTCTGGCCTCCACGGGCACTTTACAGACAGGGTGTATATACACGTGTAGACAAAACACTTGTACACATAAATTATTTGATACATAATGTCACTACCAAAAAAAAAGCTACTTGAGATATATAAGATAAATTCATTTTTTTGAGCTTCAGTGGAGAAATTCGACACAGGTTAAAGAGTTTTTATTATTGATAGGGTCTCACTATGTAGCCCTGACTGGCCCAGAATTCCCTGTATAGACCAGGTTGGCCTCCAACTCACAGATATCTTCCTGTCTTAACACAGGATTTTCTTTTTAAACTTGAAAAATAATATTTGTTTCTATTTTACATTTTACTACTGTTATTCTTTTGTTTATTCTTTATTTTTTGTCTCTTTATAGCTTTTTTAAGTTAGCACACAGAGTAATGAGATGATTTCATGTGTATGTGAGACACAGCACGTAACCTATACTTTGTTCTTATTCGCCCCGGCCCTCCTGCTCCTTTCTCCTCCCCCTTCCCCAGTTTCCTTCCCCATGGCCAACAGTCCCTCCTTCTGCTCTCCTACAGTGGTCACCTATGGTTCATTATCCTCTGCTGTTCCTTTATTGTCATAGTCATTAGTCAAGGAACCAGCCCTCCATCATGTTCAAAGTTCTGAGTTCTTAAAGTTATTAAATACGTTTATTCACTGTGTGTGTGTGTGTGTGTGTGTGTGTGAGTGTTGTAGTGTGAACACGAACATGTATATGAGTGTGTCTGGGCACACGCACGCGCATCCATGCACACACGTATGGTAGTCAGGGGACACCTTGCAGGAGCTGCTTTTCTCCTTCTTCCCTGTGAGTCCTGGGGATGGAGCTCAGGTTATTTGGCTTGGCAGCTGGTACTTTACATCCTGAACTGTCTCTTCAGCCCTGAGCTCTTGGCTTTTGGGGAGATTCCCTAAGAAACTGGGCTTTTTTCCTTTCTGGTGTTGGTGTTAAAGTGACAGAGACCTAAGGATTGGTAGAACCCGGGTGTGGTGGAGCCGGTTTCAGGCTGAGCATAGATGTGTTCTGAGCTGTGGGTGGGTGGGGCGGTGGGCAACACCGAAATGTGCACTGTGCTTTGGAAGGATGACAGACAGCTTTTTGTGGTCCTTAACAATTGAGAAAATGAGAAAAAAAGTTGCTCAGAAGTTGAAAAATTAGATTAATAAACTTCTTTACCAAAGTTGAGGCAAAGGGATTGAAACAGATAGAGTGGAATGCCCAGCAGGATCCAGGAGCCTTTATTTTTCCTTTTGAGCCAGGATATGATAAATAGTCTAGGCTGGCCTTGAATTCATGACCCTTCCTGCCTCAGCCTCCTGAGCGCTGGGATGTCAGGTACACACTTCTAACTCAGACCCGTGGATGTGTTTTTAGAGATTTTATCTACTCTGTCCCTATAATACTTGGCACTATTGTGTATTTTTGCACAATTCTATTTGGAATATGGGCCAAAGATGTTTGCGGACCCTAAGCCTCTGGATTCTAAAGTGATTCTCTCCATGAGGAACAGCTGAGTCCTTATCTCAGGGCAGGGAGAGAATCAGAATCAACCTGTGATCCTAGATGCCGGAAGAAGGCAAGGTTGGTTAGGGTACCAGAGAATGGAAAGTCTATGATGTGGGAAAAGTGAGCACAATGGAGGTTTCCCCCAAAGCACACGTGGTCCTCAAACCACCCACTGGAAAGTCTGCGGAGTCATGGGCCCACGAGGAGTGGTGTACTCTGGAGCGTTTTTAGTCATCAACTGTTATAACGCAATGTCGTCAGAAGGTGGCAGGCTTCTTAGGACCAACTTGATCCCAGAGGTGGCTATGAGATGTGGCTTGTTTGCTGGGAGGGAACATGGGTGTGATGGAGAGAACTGAGATTCTGCAGCCAGCCTGGGGATGTTCTGTAGGAGCAGGGTCTCTCCTCGCCCTTCCCGAGTGTCTCCCGCTAGGAACCAGGGAGAATTTTATAAACGGCGTTAGAATTTCCTTGTACAGTCTGGGATAGATGCCCACGGCGCCTAGGACCCCAGTCCGTTATTACAGCGCAGGGGGACTTAATACCTTACTTTCAGGAGGCACAACCAGTCATGGCGTCGTGTGACTTGGAGGTCCTAAGATGGGCGATGGTGACTGAGGATGGTGGCCACACGCGGACACCTGGAGTGGAGGATGAGGCTTCCTGCAGCTGAGGGCGTCTCCCTTGGGACAACAGGATCAGTGAAGTGTGATGTGCACCCAAAGGGAGGGCTCTAAATAGAGAACACTGTGCACAGGCTCGGTATGTATGTATGTTTCCCGAGACAGGGTTTCTCTATAGCTTTGAAGTCTGTCCTGGAACTAGCTCTTGTAGACCAGGCTGGCCCTGAACTCACAGAGATCCGCCTGCCTCTGCCTCCCAAGTGCTGGGATTAAAGGCGTGTACCACCACGGCCCAGCTGTGCACGGGCTCTTAAAGGTACTTTTCTTGCTGGAACCAACTGCTCTTTTCCCCCCTAGGACATCATGTAGTGTTTAATTAAAACCAAGAATGCTTCTGTGGAATAAACTGAGTATTTCCCATGCTCAGCCCAGCTACAGAACTCCTCAGCACAGAGAGCACTGACCCCATCTCCCCCCTCCACTGACTTGTGTCAGAGATTTATTGTGGTACACCCAGTTATTATTTCATTATAGAACATGTTGTCTTATTTAGTCATGATACAATTCTTTTCAATTTGTTTTTAAAGATTTATGCGTATGAGAGATTGCCTACATAGATGTCTGCATCACTTGTGTGCACTGCCCATGGATGCCAGAAGAGAGCATCAGATGCCCTACAAGCAGAGTTACAGACAGTTGTGAGTCACCATGTGGGTGCTGGGAATCACACTCACGAACCCTGGAAGGGCAACCATTGCTCTTAACCACTGAGCCGTCTCTCTAGTCCCAAATTTTGAAGTCTTCTATGGAAGGCAGCAGGAGAGAAAGAAGGCAAATGATACAATCATCAACAGTAGCCACATAACAGGAATGTAAAATGGCTGCTCTGTCTTCACCACACAGGTAGAAGGAAAACCAGGTTGTTCCGGGTTTTTTGTCTTTAAGAAAGGATACACATTTGGGTGATACTATAACAACTTACAGGTTGAAAGTTTCACCTTGGCTATTGTTAACTGCTGCATGCATGTTCCTTTGGGAGTGAGGTGACATCCTTCTTGTGGTTAGACACCTTGCAGGTGCCTGTATCAGGGATTAATTGGCATGCATGCTTGCCGGAACTTGAGCCTGTGTGGCTTTTCCTGGACACAGAGAAAAAGAAACCCAAGGCAATGACAAACATACCAGGTAATTAGAAATTAAATGTAGTATCTTTGATTTACCATTAAATGTTATTTGTCACCAATGAATGTATTCTGTGCTGTCTTCAGACTTGAATAAAGATTTTTGCCTGGAGGTTCATGAATAAACCTGGTAAAATTACTGGCAATCACACCAATGTAAAATACTTGGTGTTTGAAGAAGAAAATGAAGACTTGGTTGATACTGAATAACCTCCAAGCTGCATAAGGAGGAAAGTAAGCCCAGGGAGACCTAGTGGTTGTGAAATTCTAGTGTAAAAGGTAGATTCTGGTCCACATTCAGGGCAATGCCTAGCCATTTCTAATGACGGGCGTGGTGCAGGTGGCAGATGTGTGTTATCTTTAATACCTGGTAGAAATAAAGCCATCTTTTTTTATGAGAACCATGTAGTTGCGTATCAAACCTAAGGGTTTCTGGGAAAGAACACATCTAGAATTATACGGTAAATATTTTTCTTAGACAAAAAATATTTTTTTTCTGTCTCTGTATGTCATAAGAAATAAATGCGTGAGGGAAATCTATTAAATACCATTTTAGGAAAACAAGATACAGGTAGGGATCTACGTTTTAAACAACCTGCCAAAGCAATTAAAATAAGCCCAGAAGTTCCTGGGGTGGGGTGGGGCATGAGTGAAAAGATGGACCTCAACAGTGGCTTGTGGAAACAGTCCCCCTGAGAAAACTGCTCGGAGTGGCAAGCAGGCAGAATGCCAGCATTTGCCAGGAGCTGAGGGAATGACAGGGATGGGGGCCGACCTTCTTGCTGTCCCTCTTCCTCCTCCTCCTTCTTCTCCTCCTCCTCCTCTTCCTCTTCCTCCTCTTCCTCCTTTTCCTCTTCCTCCTCCTCCTCTTCTTCTTCCTTCTCCTTCTCTTCCTCCTCATTCTTCTTCTTCCTCCTCCTCTTCCTCCTTCTTCTCCTCCTCCTCTTCTTCTTTCTTCTCCTCCTTCCCTTTCTCCTCCTCCTCTTCTTCTTTTGAGTTAGGGTTTCTCTGTGTAGCCCTGGCTGTTCTG